TAACAGTTTTAAAACTGTTTGCAGTCAGTGAGAAATTAAGGTAGAAAGACAGGCAGTGAGCGGATGAATGTGGACAGAAAGCCACACCCCGGGTAAAGGAAGAGTGCATCAGAAACAAGGTGTCCCACTTTGGGGGCTTATTTTCAGGTATTTCCCCTCAGGCCTACTGCAAATCAATTCACCTATTTTATTTACTTAGTTTTTCCATTTGGACAGAAGCCAAAATTTGATCTGTTTGTGGGTTTTTTTGTTTGTTTGTTTGTTTGTTTTGGTGACAGGGATTGGACTCAGGGGCCCTCGACCACTGAGCCCCATCCCCAGCCCTATTTTATATTTTATTTAGAGACAGGGGTTCAGCACCTGGCTTCTGCTGAGGCTGGCTTTGAACTCGATCCTCCTGCCTCAGCCTGAGCCATGGGATGACAGGTGTGTGCTAACATGCCAGCTCTGTTTGTGTTTTTCATTCCTCAGGGAAGCATGTGGGAAGCCTCCAGCATCGTAATCAGAAAAATGACAAGAGAAAACATCCCTGTTACTAAGTAAGGTCTTCACCTAAGGATTGAAATAGCAGACCTTCTTCTAGGAGAAATTGATGGACACAGACAGGCCCCACGTTTATTTATGTTACTGATTCTTGTCCCCAAGACACACAGAGAAGGCTAGTCATGCCCAGCGGACGGGGCACCGGGCTGACCTCGGACACAGAGTGGTGTCTGTGGACTTTTGAGGGCCAAGTGGAGACGTTAAAGACCCGTCCAGGATGGTGTGTCATGTGTTGAGCTGCCCCAACAGGTTCCCGTGACTTGGAAGCTCATACACCACAGACACCTATTTCCTGAGGATCCAAGATGGAGGCAGATTTGGTGTCTGGTGAGGGAGGAGCTTCTTTGGGTTCACTGATGGCTGTCAGTGTGTCCCAGCGGGTGGCAGGAGCAAGGTGGCCCTCTGTGGCCTTGTTCATGAGGGCACTAATCACATTGGTCAGGGCTCCACCCAGGGGAGCTCCCAAGGAAGTTGGAATTTCCACATAGGAATTTGGAGAGGACCCAATGTTAAGGCCACCGTAGATGACTAGCAAGAAAATTTGACAAAGAAAAGCAAATAGATGAGGAGTAAGTAACCCAGAGATTTTTTTAAAAATCTAGCAGCTGTCAGAGAAGGCGGGAGACCAATCTGAAGATGTCACATTGGCTGACACCATGCACCTCTGGAGGGGACACTGGACAGACAGGGTGTGGGGGCCAGTGGGCTGTTTGAAAGGCCTTTTAAGAGACTTTGAGACTCGTGCCTGTCACCATTCTGAAGAGCACTGTTGTGTTTACATTCATCCGCTGGTGACTGTAGCTCAGGCCACTTTTCTTTGTCACCCAGCATTCAGTCTTTGCCTTCATTGTGAGCGATTCAGAGGTTCTATGCAGGGAGAAGGTAGCCATCCCGAGTAGATGGGCCAGGTGTGTGCTCGGTTCTGGTTTTTGGAGGACTGAGCCAGATCCAGGAAACATAGAGGCTCACCCAGGGCACAGGCACGAGGACTCAGAGGACAGAAATGTGAAGGACATAACCCTTGCTTTCAAGTATCACAGATTACGTGCTTCATTTCTGTGAATGGCTTGAACTATTTTATTTCTTCTCCTCTTCCAACTTTTGTTTTTGCATATGAACATAAAGATGAAGACAGAGATCTGTATCTGTCCTGGTACGTTGGCTTCGCACTCAGTAACTGTTTGAAAATCGAATTTGGTTCATAGAAAATTAATTTTGGGGGCTAATAGTGAAACAAAATAATGTTGGCACACTTTGGTTGCAGCTGACACTTCGGGACTTCTGGCCCACATGCTCTCCCAGCCGATCATGTTGGGAATCATCAAACTTTAACTTTCTGAAGGCTGCTATAGAGACTCTTATCTCTACAGAAGGAGAGGGCACTGACCCGTGTGCACTAACCTGGCCTGTTTCTCTCCCTGCCTTCTAGGTGTACCACACTCTGTTCTGGCCTCTCGAATGGACAATAGCCGGCAGAGACAATAACACTTGTTATGCGAAGATCATCTGCCACAAACCTGACAGCGTACGTAAGGGACTGGGAGCAGAAATGCTGTCATTGGATTGGATTGATTGATTGATTTTGTGGCCCTGGGGATCGAGCCCAGGGATTTGTGCATGCCTGAGCCACACCCCCAGCCCTAAATGCTATGATTTTAAAAGGTAGCTTTTCTTCTTAGGGTTTGGATTTTTAGAACATCTTTAAAGATAGCTTTGGGGTCAAGAGTGAGCACCTTCATGGGGTTTTCCTGTTGACATGGCCACAGGGGTCCAGCAGTAACCGCTTGTGCCCGCGGTTTGCCAGTCCCCTCTCAGAATACATCAGTGGCAGTTGTCCCTGCCCAGGGCCCTCCTGATGGCTTGGTGGCTTAGAACGGGGTGAATGTGAAAATGTGGGTCATCGCCTGCCTGGTGCGGGTCTGGTTTTGTGGTGGCCCACACCTGTCATCCCAGTGGCTTGGGAGGCTGAGGCAGGAGGATTGAGGTTGGCTGTGAACCTCGCTTCTGACCTCAGAGGCGCGCTCATCCCGTGCACCCCAGACCTCATGGCGGGCAGACCTCGGTGCCAGCCTGGTGTTGGCTACTCTTCGCTTCGCTTTTGCAGCAAAATCTGACACCTCCAAATTATCCCAGGGCTGGGCTTTAATTCAGATTTGTGCTGTTGTTGTTCAGCACTATCTCAGCATAATTCCGCAATCTACATCATCCTAATGAACTCCTTCATGCAGTGGGTAAATTGCTTGTTCTAGTAAATTTGAGTGCAAATTAACTCTGGATGCGCATTTACCGGCTCATTTCACAGACTCTTACAGAGGCTCCCTTTCATGGTAATGTTCTCTGCTCGGTTCAACATGAGAGTCCTCCTGTAGGAGAGGCCGTCAATTTGAACTGAACTTGGAGTGAACAGATTCCTTTTCAGACCATTAACCTCCTGGGATTCTCTTTGTCTGGCTCCTGTATTAAAGGATCGAGTGATAGGATTTCATATTCTTGGACCAAACGCCGGTGAGATTACCCAAGGATTCGCAGCCGCCATGAAATGTGGGCTCACCAAACAGCTGCTGGATGACACCATCGGAATCCACCCCACATGTGGGGAGGTAGGGAGCAGGAGGGTTATGAATTGACTTTACTCGATGCACTTTGAAAAACCAATATAAACAGTATTATCAAGCCGGGCTGGGGAGGCTGAGGCAGGAGGATCGCAAGGTGGAGGCCAGCCTCAGCAACAGCGAGGCCCTGAGCAACTCAGGGAGTCCCTGTCTCTTAATAAAATACAAAATAGGGCTGGGGATGGGCCTCAGGGTTCAAGGGCCCCTAAGTTCAATCCCCACTACCCCAAAAATATTGTCAGGAAGATTTTTTATCCGTAACTGTTTTGTACATTTTAAAGAATCACGCGATATTCAGAATGTGTTCTTTGAAAGCAGTGATGGCGCCTGACCATCTGTTTGTTGTGTTTCTTTCTGTGGCCAGGTCTTCACAACTCTGGAAATCACAAAGTCATCAGGACTGGACATCACCCAGAAGGGCTGCTGAGGGTAGCCCTGCTGCTGCCGAGTTCTCCTTGTCCTGCTGTCATTCCTTTCAATGACAACGATGCTCTGTGCCCAGGACACCCGCTCTGTTGCTGGGGGACCAGTACAGGGCTCTGGAGGGCACAGAGATGAGAAGGCGGACAGGGGGACAGGTCAGCAGCAGGGGCCTGCGGTCGTCTCGGCTGACGTGAGTGGCAGTTGGGCTGCATCCTTGACGCTCTGGCTTGGAACCGCCTGGTGAGGTGAGCCAGGGCCGACCCTCTTGCGTCAGACTGGACCTTGCCACCAGCCCACCGTGAGTGGCACAGTGACCGAAGCTAACTTTTCCACACTTGGCGCTGTTTTGATTCCTGCTTTGTTACTTCTATGAAGAAATTTTTTTTCAATTGTGAAACTGGCTGGGAAAGGCCGTTTTCCTGTGTGCAGGCCTGGGTGGCACCTGCGCGCCTGCGTGGGTGACATCTGGGAGATGCATTGCAGTAGCTGGCTGCAGAGGACTGGGGACATGAGCAGAAAGCTCTGCGCCAGGTCTAAGTGTCAAGTCAACTGTCCTTTAAAAGGGACATTTTAACCTGCTGTCAAAATCCTGAATTGGGCTTCACTCTCCTGGACATTTCCTGGTGTCTGTCACCTGGAAGTGAGTCTCCTCTTAGATCCTCGACTGGTGAGACAGCTCGTGTAAGAGACAAGTACTTGAATTTCTTGTTGTTGATTTTTAAGAGTAATATTAAAAGCCGTTTTCAGTACTGTATGATGGGACATCTGCTTTCAGGCTGGGGAAAATGTTTCAGTCGTGATCTGTTCAATGTAGACAAGTTCAGAAAAGAAACAGGTGACAGTTAGCGGTTTAATTTGAACTTACATCTGCCACAGAAAGGCCCTTGGGGACAGAGGCCTACCCAGAGTCCTTTAGAACTGCCACCCAGTTCACCCTCCTGCGGGCCTCTTGCTCCCTGGACAGGTCGCCCGGGGCTACATCATGACAGAGTTGTGTGGCCACGATTTCTAGGCATAAGTTTTAAAAGTGAATTATAAAACCAGCAAACAAGTCCAGAACGCCACTTGGAGAGGGACACTTTGCGGCCTATGGTAGCCACAGAGCCTAGGGTCAACAGAAGTCAAAGGTCAGGGGTCATGTAGGGATGGGCCGGAGGGTTTCTGCCTTAGAGCTGCACTGGGAACCCAGACCTTAAAGTTCATGTCACATGGGGGGAGTGGAGTGTGGGGTGGCCCGAGCTGAATGAATGGGAGATGGAGATGGAAATGTACCTTAAGCCCAGGAGTCAGTTCCCAGGAAGGAGGGGACCATGGAAAGAGCTAGGCTTTGGAGAGGGACCGACGTGGGCATGCCTGCTCCGTGGCTTACGAGATGTGACAGAATGTGCTGCTTGGCTTTTCCTCCTCTTCCTTTGTTGAGTGCAGACAGTGCTGCCCACCTCACAGAGCTACCTGGACGAGGTCCGCGCTCTGGAGCGCATAGGCGTAGAGTGGCTTGGCTTCAGCGCTGGGGAATAAGGTCCCTGATAAGGAGAGCTACTGTAGACACGCAGCAGGACAGCCAGCAGGTAGGCAGAGAGGGGACTGGTCCCTTGCATACTTTCACAGGCAGCCTCCAAGTGGGATCCCCAAGTCCTGGTAATCACATCCCTGTGTGGTCCCCTCCCCCGTTTTACCAAGGTAGGTCTGGGTGACCGTGAGCCTATGGCGGAAGTGACGGTATGTCACTTCTAAGATGAGGTCATAAAAGGACTGCGGCTCAAGTTTCGGCCCTTGGTCTCACTTGCTGTGGGAGAAGAGAGCTTTGTGTCATGAAGGACTCAGGAAGTTCTGGAGAGGCCCTGGGGGTGAAGAACTGAGGTCCCCAGCCACCAGCAAGATTCTGACGTCCGACATGTCCCTGTGAAGGAGCTCAGGAAGGGACCCTGCTGCAGCCAAGATTCCCTGGGCCAGGAGCTTAACGGCATCTCTGGGACGCACTTGGGGCCAAAGGCATCCAGTTTGGGCACTGCCAGTCTCCTCACCCTCAGAACGGTGAAATAATAAGTGCTCATGATTTAAGCTGCTCACTTTGGGGGTGATTGTTTTACCCAGCAAGAGATGATCAACACATTTAGGAAGGAGAACTAAAATCAGTACCGAGGTCATCAGCCAACTCGAGGGTCTTGGGGTCAGTCACCCCTAAACAGACACAATAAAATTCGTGGGGTTACCATTCTGACAGAAGAAGCCTGCAGCTCACACTCAGCTCTGAGTTCACGTCATCATCGAAAACAGCAGGGAAGTGCAAGACACCTTTGGGGTCAGTGGTCCTGAGCGGTGGCTGTGGTAGGTTCTTGCTGAAGTTCCTAAAAGATGACTAAGAAAACCTGATCATCATACGAATGTATGTTATTCAACTTATCAAGGGAGAGCATGGCCCCGATATATTGAGTTTCAGTACCATCTTAAATGGGAGATGAAGAAGGGTGCCATCCACTCTCCCCCTCTCGAGGCCACACATCTCCAATCTAGGATGAGGTCCGCACTCTAGATTGGGGCCATCCCATCATGGTCTGGGACCTCCAGAACCATGAGCCACAGTAAACCTTTTTTCTTTATAAGTTGATTTTCTCAGGCATTTTGGAGTAGTGATGGAAAGCTGACCGGCAATGCATCTTATCATTTGTAAATGATACTTCAAAATTAATTTTTCATCAGTGTTCAAAATATTTGTTGAACGATTACTAGACAATGGCTCTCTTGGGTAAGAAGAATGTGCACAGCCAGAGGAACAGAGGCTCAGAAAAGACTGAACGAGGGCAGATAAGAATCCAGGTAGAGGAGCAAGTCGGAATAGGGGGTGTGATTTCCTGTCACGGATGCCTAAGTGACCGTGCCTTAGAATCTGCCCATTAGTAGACAGATCTTATTAACTCTCCCAATTAATCTATAATGTGTCCCATTAACACTGACAAGACTACTGGGGTGTCATCTTTGGTCTCTGTGTGACCCTGTGCTGTGTGAGTACCTTCTAGAAATGCATGTGTGAGAACTCGCTTTGGGCATGATGAGCAGTGCTATTGGTGTTATTTGAACCCCCCCACTGTGGCTCCTCCCAGCCGTGTCAGGTCTACACCCCAGGCCACCCAGATTTCTTTCCCCCAGACTCGAAAACGGTGTGTGGTTATTGCCATTTGGAAAGCAATGAGCTGAGTTTTGCTTCTCTTTTGGCAGGACCCTTATCAGATGAATGGGGGGACTTTTAAATGCAGCCTAGCTTTCTCAGGAAGAAATCTCTACGCCGGGGGGTAAATGCAGGATAGCAGTTCTGCACTTGTTGGCCAGGTGATGTCGATCTCTGGGTGAGATCGCTGCTGGGCATGGGGGCCGCTGTGCCTTAAGTGGGGTGTAGTAAGTGGGATCCGCAGCATCCTGCGTGGCAGACCTGCTGGGACCCTATTGCCCCAAATTGCCCTCTTAGCACACAAGCGTTTCTGCAGTCTGTTTCCTCTGTGGGACGTTAATGACCATAGGTTATGGAGTCAGCCCTTCCCCAGAGGCTGCCTGATTTTCTAGGTAGGAAGGCTGTTCTGCACCACAGCCTGAGATGATGAAGTGGTCCACAGAGGGCTTCCGTAACTTCTGCTGGGGGACTGCTAGTTCATTGAATATCATCAACAGCCTTAGCTAGTCCCGGGGACTAGCAAAGCTAAGTGAACTTGGTTAAAGTGATTGTTCTTAACTTACTTTCTTGGGGATCATGGGGGACTGGGGATTGAACTCAGGGACCCTTGACCCCTGAGCCCCATCCCCAGTCCTATTTTGCATTTTATTTAGAGACAGGGTCTGAGCTGCTTAGCGCCTTGCTTTGGCTGAGGCTGGCCTCCAACTTGCGATCCTCTTGCCTCAGCCTCCGGAGTTGCTGGGATGACAGATATGTGCTATTTGTATTTGTTCAGCCTATAATGGGACACAAGGTGACTTCAGAGCCTGCCCCATGCCACATAGGGCGTTACCTAGTTTCTGTGCCCTCATAGCTTTACAATCAAGTGGAATTAGCAGATACAAATAGATAGCTTTAGAAATTATTTCTGCCTCGCAGAGGAAGGAGAATGAACACTGAATTCTATAATAAGCCAGAGTTATACTCCATTCATAAATTTGTTTAATTATCTCATGAACACTTGAAAATACCCATGAGGAACCTGTGGAGCCCTGTTGATCCAAAGTTCATTCATTTTTTGGTGCATTAAGATAGCAGGAAAGGGGCTAGGGATGTAGCTCAGAGCACTTGCCTAGCATGTGTGAGGCCCTGGGTTCGATCCTCAGTACCACATCAAAATAAATAAGAAATAAAAGTACATCAACAACTAAAAAATATCTTGAATAAAGAAATAATGGCCAGGAATCTGTTTATATTTAGTGTGATCAGGGAATTTGACTATTTCGTGGGGGAAGCGGGCACTAAATTGCTAAATTCTCATTACAATTACTGTAAAAAGTTAAGTTTGAAAGATGTACACATTTAAAAGGCGGAGAATGCTCTTCACTTGGTGCATCTTCTGTTAGAAGCATTTGCATCTCAGGGTGATCAGAGACCAGCTGTGGATTTTAAAGTGGTTCTGATAAAGCCCGGAGCTGTGACTTCTCTCCTTCAGTTCTGGTCATGATCATGCACATGCAGACTCAGGTGATCCACAGCCCAGTGGGAAGATCGGGCTTGCCCCACGCCCTGAGTCGTTTCCTGCTGCTCATGGCCTGGCCCTTCTCCTCCCTGGGGAGGCCACACATCTCTTCCCACTGGCTTCCAGGACCCACGTGGGCCTGTGCAGATTCCCGGGAAGTCAAGGACTTGTCTGTTTATGCGTTGAGTACAAAGATCCAGCAAACCCAACTTGGCGACCTTGGTTTTTGTCCGCAGCTGTATAGGAAGTTCAGTTTGACCAGATTCCTTCCTTGCTGCAGATCTAGGAACGCCGGCATGCAGCTTTTTCTTCTTATGAAATTGACAACTTTCACCTCTTCACTTAAAGAAAACCAAAGGGCAAACCCAAAGGGCCAGCATCACTACTTTTGCACTTTGGGATCATGAGGTAAGTCAAGGTCACTTGAACACCAGCACGGTGTTACCATGCCAACAGATCCAAGTGACTAACGGGAGGGTAGTGTCTACACTGTGGATACGCTGGGTGAAGGTCTGATCTGCATCCCAGGTGAAAGGGAGCAGGGTGATGTGAGATTGCATCACATGCTCAGAATGGCCTGCAGTTTAAAACTTAAGGGTTGTTCTGGAATCTTCCATGTAATATTTTCAGATTGCATTTGACTACTGATAACTGAAACCTTTACAAGTGAAATCTTGGATAAGGGGCGGACTCCTGTAGATGCTTTTCTCTGTATTTATCCTGTGTGGGCCTTACTGAGCTGGTTGGATCTGTGAGTTAATATCTAACATCAATTTGGAAAATTCTCAGCCGTCATCTCCGCAAATATTTTTTCTATCCATCCACACTTTCTTTTTTTCTAGAATCCTGATTACAGGTATATTAGGCTTCTTATTGTCCTGTGTGTCTCAGTCTCCCAGGTTTTTCCTCTTGGCATTTGAGTTTGGATCTGGCTTGCTTTGGAGTCACTGGTCCTGTCCTGTCTTTGATCTCTCTGCTCAGATTCCCCATCTGTTCTCACATAACGTCCACCTTTTCCTTTAGACCATTGAACATATTTATCATCATTTTAAAGATCCTATTTCCAACCCCTAGGCCGTCCTGTCTT